CATCACTCAGGCCACTTTGATCACACTAGACCGAAAAAGCATACTCCTGAATCACTGATTTTGCCGTTACGAAATTCTGATAAGATATCACTCCATGAGCATTTTCAGCTGTTTGCCTGCAGTCAACGGGAATGAGTGAATCAGTGACAAATCGTGCAGCATTTCCTCGGCCGTCAAAGTAGCTATTTCCTATTGTTAGCAGTTTCGTTTCTGAAGCACAGCAATCGGAAACTCATACAATCAGTCGTATTGTTTTAAGACTTTTGGAGCTGTTCACCCTCAGTCATGTTGCCATCTTCATTCTCTCCGGTCTAAGCAAGTTTACATGCCATTGATTTAAAATGCAGACACATATCCATAATCAACTTATTAAATATTTATCCAAGTTTTTGACCCGTTTTATGGCTGGGCATCGGGTCTTCATTTTTCAGCTGTGCTCTGGCGCTGATTCCGCACCTGTTCCCTACCGATTCCTCATCTTAGCGACAAATGCGTTCTCCGTTGTCATATACTTTCTTTTTTGGAAAAATTGGGACTCCCTGTTTCACTGAGGTTCAGAGGGATCATCGAACAACATAATGCTCGTCTTACTTCTAGAGTTCGACTTTCTTCTCTACAAGTGATGCCCACATAACGCCGATCTTAACTGTGTCGAATCCTCTCCGCAGTCAACGAAGAAGGTGCACGATGCGAATCTGTATTTCCTCTAGCGCTCCAGTAGTTAGCTGACGTTGAGCAGACATCGGTGGACTAGTTATCATGACACTGAAACGAAGCCGTCATCGTTAGCTGGTGACATAAGACAGAAAACCACGATGAAATGCATTTCTCACAGTCATATCGCAGTGCTTATAATATCTGTTATCCGACCCAGCCTGTTGGGCATGTGGGTAATGATAACCAGTAATCAATAACGTGCCTATGGGAACGATGTTCTGAATGAGGATCGAATTTCAGAGGAGGAGATCATCAATGCATATCCTTAAAAAGAGTGACATAGAGCATCATATCTGCAACTTCCAAGCAAGAGGCTGCGCCTCGACTTGGCTGCTGCACAACTGCAAGATGCCGCCACAACAATACAGGCAATTTTATTTAGCCTTGCTACTGAGCAGGTGCAAATTACATGGTCATGGTCGACTCTGACCAAACTCATATTTCTCCACACCAGCAACCACGATAAAAGCGTCGTGACGTGTTTACCGGTGAAAGGAGCTTCCATCAACAAACAACATTTCGGCTCATGTAGAACCAGTAGCCGTGCTACATACAAGACGAAAATTTAGGGGGGAATGATTACCTCCCGATCACTGGAATGCAGTAATGAAACAAAAAATGATATTACAACTCTGGATAGACAAGCTATTGTTCTGCCAGATATTTTTTAGATAAAAGCATTAAAATCCATAGCTTGTATTCATTTAAAAATAGCAGCCGCAAACAAATAAAGTAAATAATAAATTATGAAGTTAATAATGACTATGCAGCAAAACAATCCAATACTTGCGAATTTCTGAGTCAATGCCTAGCGGCTCAAAATTTACTGAGTAAAAAAATAAATACCGGAAACAGAACCAGACAAAATCTAGCCTTTGTTGCAGTTCTGGTAGAGAATCATTGTTATAGTTGATAGCAGTCACCGGAATGAGAAATAAAAAATATGTACATTTCATTTTAGCAATCAATTACTGGATGGGGAAAAAATCGCTTCGCATTACCTCCTCCGCTTCAATAAACTTAGCATTTATAAAATTCAATAACTGGTTCGAAAATAACGGCTGCACCGAGATCTCATTTATCGATTATTCTCGGACGAGGCGTAATTTCATGATGAAGAACACTGTGGTGGCCAGAGCACTGTTTCCGACTTGGCACTCTGTTGTTCATCATCCATTATTACCTCCAGAATTTGTTGATAAGATATGAAGGAAAGCAAAGTGCTGAACTTTAAAAAATTACTTGCAGAAATTTAAAATAAACAAGGGTCTATGGCATTTTGGCACAAATTGCTGTTCTCAATGCTCGGTCTTGCCGTTTTGAACCTGTAAAAATGGACAGCGGTCAGTCTTATCAAATACACGATTAAGCACGTCACACTGTATATCAACGGGTAGCTTTCTATGAGTCAAGTTGACGCTGCCGAGGTCTAACTAGTGATTTTTTTCATCACGAATCCAATGTGATGATTGTGCAATGGGAGTTCATCAACCCGCAGTCGAGTGGTCTGAAATTTGAATTTATATCATTGGCAGATGGTCACACCTGTATTAATTGTTTGACTCCATCCCTCACGTTGCTCCTATCAATGGACAGCTCTCTGCGAGTAAAATGCAACGCCGTTGCCAGACTATGAATATCGATGGTCTTCATTTTTTCATCGATTCCATCGTGAGGTCGCTAAGTCAGAGCATTGTTATCCGATCGCGAGTCGGGTCGGACTTGCAGATGGACATCTGTATCAGTTACTTGACTCAACCCCTTATGTTATATATCACTCGAAAGCTCTTTGTAAGCAGAATATGAAACTTTCATCATTTATTGTCATTTTCAAAGTTGGCATCTTCGTCCGACGATCGATTACGCAGTTTGATTAAATCAGCGCGTGATAACATTAATATGAACAACAGTGAGTTTGAATATAAGGAACTTACGGAAGCCTATGCATGTTTTTTTCTCATTAATTTCATCATGTTGTTGCACATCAATAAAAAGCTCTTACTGCTCATAATAAGTAATTTTTGTCATAAGGGTGATTTTATATATGGATTTAAACCGACAATTCGCCTGTGCTATTTGCACATATTTCTAGATCTATCATTCACTGTGTTCTACCAAACTGTTATCTAGAATGCGATGATGGCATTACAACGTAGATTCATAAAATTTCGGTCTGAATATGAACTGAATAAATTGTTGAATTATAACAACGATGAAATGAAGCAAAAGTTTTCTTTCTTTATCTTATAAAGAATTTAATATGCCAAGATATTAAATAAATTAATTTTAATTGAATTTTTAATATACGAAGATATCACTGTGCTACTTCGTAGTTATGCGTCAAGCCATCGAGATAAGCAATAATCCTTCTGCTATGATATTCATTCACAATACATTTCATTTTTCATCCTCGTCCCGATATTTCTTCAACTTGACTGGTGGCTGATGACCGGCATCAGGTTGTTCGTAGTATATCTTGCGGCCCTTCCGCAAGACGAAGATCTTGGAAGCAT